ATAATGTGTGTGCGTGAGTGTGTTTGTGAGTATTAGTGTGTGCGTGCGTGTGTGTGTGTGTGTGTATGTGTGTGTGTGTATGTATGTGTGTGCGCGCGCGCGCGCGTAGATAACAATATTTCCCCTTCAAATGTGAACACAACATGTCTAAAGATGATAAAGATCGGTGAAAAGTGACAATAAAAGTGGAAGACCAAATAAATGTGACATGCAATTCCAAATATATATAAACATATAAAGAGCAGAACTGCAGGTAGTGCTTTCAAATGTGGAAATTGCCGTTTCAAACGTGAATAAATTTCAGAACAAATGAAACATTCCAAGTGCAAATGTGATGAGGCTGAAAGGGGATTTAAAACAGATTCTCCACTCCGCCGACTTCTCCTCCTCCAGTAGAGACACTGGCATTAAATACTTTTAAAGGAATTAATAAATTTCTAAACAGGTTATTTATTGATTTCTTGTAGCGAATAACAGCAATAAAAATATTTCCCTTTCCCAATTCCCTACCCTACCTACATTGACTCCATGTTCAGCGGTTTTGGATAAGGTTACCATTCTGTCTTCCAAGTGCTGATTCAGAAGCTGGTGGCGAACCTCGACCAATATTTCTTTTGTTTGAAACTTCCATTTAAAGTAAATGCAGGTTCGTATACATTGAGAAATGCGGAGTAAGAAGGCAGATACCGAAACCCAAAATCTGGAGGCAACTGGAGGTTGGTTGCTTGTTGTCAGTAGGTGCATTACCTATGACGAAAAAGGCATCCACCGCAGAGTATGCTCGCCACTCTGTATGAATGGAAGCATTGAAGCGGTCACCTGTCCTTTCTTATTCCCAATTGATATATGAGGCCACAAATATTACTCATAGAAAATGTCATTAGAATTTGTAACCCATCGGTCTTGGGCGACAAGCACTGCTTTCGTGCCTCAGCAAGATTGCCCACAGGTTCTTTTCATCCAAAGGTTAATGCCTGCTTCATCAATGTAGATGAATTCATGGACTTGTACAAGATGCATGTTAATGCACCACGTTGTATCATTATGCATGGCGCAGATCCTCGCCGAGGTCGGAATTTCTTTTAACGTGTGCATCTTCTAACTTTTTAGCGATATCATCAAGAAACCCGCCAAGAATTTTGCTGATGGGTTGTCCGGGGGACATTTCTATTTTTATTTTTTAACATTTTTTCGGGAGGGGAAAAGGGGGGGGGGGGCTGAGGAAGGCAGATTCTTGAGTGCTCTATTGATCATGCCAACTGTAAAGTCTGGGTGCTTGTCAACAAGGCCGTGGACAACAGCTCTCACGTCGTCAGACATTTTGCAACGTCTGTTATAACCACAATCCATTGTCACTTGAGCATCTCTCTCCTGTGTTCTTTAAACAATTTCAACAGTTGTACAGTACATGTGTATAGTTCATGACTAACAACACAATATGCAGTTTGCAAGTAGCCCTTACTTTTACTTTTAGATATGTCTCGTAAATTCGAGTTCTGTTTGCATCAGCGAGTTTGGAGTAAACCGTTGGAATATTTTCTTTCTTTGCGGTTATTGTAAATAACCAATACCTACTGAGAGTGAAAATCACATCTAAAAATATTAATTGCATTCTATTTGAAAATGCTGTATTTACATTTTATTGATCTGATAGGGTGGGTCATAATGGTACAAAAATGCGTGTCACTTGTGAACTTTCAATGCCACAAAACTTCACCAATGTTAGATTTGCTCTTATTACGTTATATTTAACATAGTTATGTTCAAATTAGAAGGGGAAATACGACTAAATTATATACATGTATATATATGTGTGAGTGCGCGCACGTGTGTGTACGTGAGATACATTCAAATGTATTCAATCAGAAAGAAAAACACAACAAAATGTTAAAAGCCAGGCAATTTTCGTTTCTTAATGCCATATGTCTTTTTTAAACATAGAACATTTTACGTCCCCGTCGACACACTATAAAATTAAGATAATAGATGAATCTCCTTGTGTCGACCCTGTCTGTCAGAGGAAACCCAGGCTGAGATGGAAACAACATCCCACCAAGCAAACAGAAACATTCGATTTACAAAAGCATTCATTCTCATACACGAATCGAACTCACGTCTTCTGCGTGCAAAAGCAAAGAGCTTATCAACTGAATCACAACATTTCGTGCTTGTAATTGTATTTCTAATCTTCTGCATGAGAAAGGTGAACAATGTAAAAACAAAAATTTCTACCAAAAAAAACTGCAGATAGAATTTACTTGATATATTTTATATGAAAACCTAATACTGGTGTACTTCAAATGAATTGTTCAACCTGATACCACATTGTTAAAAGGGGTTGCTTAGGAAACGATTTTCGCAATTATGGATACTGCCAGTCAGATGCTATAGTGACATACAGTCTATCTGTTATAATGGGCCTGGAGCACTAAACTCCATAACAAACGTTTTTGTTATATTATTTGGAAACAAAACACTCCTCGTCTTCCTTCCCCTAAGACATGCCAATAACCCAAGACACTAACGACTGACGGGCGCACCCTCGTACGACTAACGTTTACTTGCAGCTGTTGCAGGTTACCTTCAAATGACGATCATACCGCCTGCACAGAACAACATTTTCTTTGATATAATTTCGTTCTCGATACCTACCGCATTTAAAGTTCCACTCCAAATTCTCGGTGTTGCTGTGTGACATTTAGAAATGGAAACGTTTACGAGCAAAGGAGGCATTGGTCTCATTCTAACGGTTATCGCTTTAAAAAAAAAAAAAATTACTTTAGCGCTATCAGAAAGTGCGAATTGTGCGAACAGTTACCCTACTTGTGTGGAAAAACAATAAACGTGAAATGAACGAACTGTGTACTATTCCTATTCTTCTTCTGGAGAAAGCAAGAGAGCTAAGCAATGCTAAGACTTACGAGGACAGTTTTTATTGTTGTTGTTGTTTTGGTGGTGTTTTTTTTGACTGAGTGAACAACCATGTTACGTACGATCTTGGGTTCATCTTTCACAATACAAAAACCAAGGCTTTACGCACAGGCCAGTGTCGACATAGAAGCAGCACTGTCAGCTTTTGAGAAAATTTTAGTAAGCGTTTTACGATACTTGGAACACCACTGGGTCATATTAGTGCTTTAGATTAGAAGTGCTACAAGTGAGTAACAAACACAAAAAAAGAAAGAGAGATGAAGACGATGGATGTTTGATTCACGGTCAACAAACTCAATAGGTAAAATGGCTGATACATCAACTGGAAAAATAAAAACCAACTGAAAATGTTATGGGTTGAACGCCCTATCTACACTATTAGGTTATTTAAGAGGCGGGACCTTCGAGTTTAAAGTCCATCTCCGAAAGGGCCAAGCCAAACGGGAAATTGTGTAAATGGCCTTCCCATGCCCAAGGACACGACGTCGGCCGAGCTGAGGCTCGAACCCCTAAAGTGTTTCTATCAAGCTAGAAACAAACAGACGTTAGAAAGCGGTTTGTGCATATGTATCGAGTCTTAACAAGCTTTCGATGCTAATATGACACACCCCCTCGCCGATGGCTTTACAAAAACGAGAACAAAAATGTGGCGAACGATGTATCACGTTTCCCTAAATAGTGTTTTAGATTCTCATTGCTTTGCTTGGTGGTAGCATTGTCTTCTGCTCGTCGAAGCACGTACCTAATATCCAATTGCTTTTTCTCACTTCGTCAATGTTTCACCAACCCCCGGGGCAGTGCCACTGACTGAAGTGTCTTTGGGCCGTTCCCAAAGGGGACATTTCTCGTTCAAGCATAGTAGAATTGTAAATGGGCTTACTCATGTCACGCTCATAACTGTGCCTGATCTACAACAGGGAACTGCTGGTTTTTCTTTCCTGATCCTTACTATGTCATTTCCTCTACTTCTTTTGTATGTTTGTCTCTCTCTTGTGACCTGCTAATTCGGGGTGCCTTGATAGTCGAAGCAGACCTTGCGCAGTTGAAGCTAGAGAGGTGAGCAGTCTAAGTCTGATTCCCTGTAAAGACTTCTCTGTTGACACCCACCCCTTGGCGCTCATATTATGACCTTATGCAGTTGCGAGCGCCGTAAAACCCTCTACTATTAAAAAAAATTAATGTTTCACCAATGTTTCACAAAGCTTAGCTACCACGTAGTGTTATTATTTTAATCTGTACATCACGTTATTCTTTCTTCTGATTGATTGTGTCTTCTTCATCTTGGATTGCTAAGGATTTTTCCTCACTTTATATATGCCATCACTACACAACTACCCAGTTTGTGCCTCAGCAGTTGATATTAGGATTTTCACTTCAAAGGGATCGGGCCATTTATTCGAAAAAGCTCCCAATCCAAACCCCACAGTGTACTAGAGACATTGAACCTCTAACCTGTGGGTATTACTCATGTATCCAGTGGAAGGTAAACTCTAACTAAAATCTTTGGATGTTAATTTTGTTAGCTGGTGCTAGTGACATTGTAATTTTGACCTTTGGATGTTACTAAACTAAAACTTCCAATGTTTGTGACGATTGTAAATCTAACCCTTTGGGTTTTGCTCCATTTTCCTCAGATACGAACAACGCCCACTGACACAAGGAGATTGAAGCGAGGCCAGGAACAGCTGGGGCTGTTGTCTCTGTCAACGCATCGACTTCCATTGTTGCCCTCGATCGCGCGAGCTCAGCTGGAACATTTTGATCAATCAGGCCCCAAGTCCATTATCTACATAAGCTTATTTCGGATTACCGGACCAGACCCAGTGCACATGAACTGGTATCCTGATTCAAACCTACGCTGAACAAAAGCTTTGAGTGGAAAAATTTTGGCCACTGCAATGTCGACAAATTACAGCTTGATTCGATGAAACCGTAACATCTCACTTTGCATGAGTGTGATAACCACACAGACATTATAGAATGAGCGTTGACATTTTGAAATATCACTTATGGTGTACATTTTGTTAAAAAGGATCAAAGTGTTTTGCGAAACCATCATAGCGTAAAATAACCTCACGTACAGGACGACAGTTGGTTCTAAGGCTATGACCGTTCTCAACGGAATAAAATACAGGAAACCGTTGATCTCCACGCGGCGGAATACCTACTCTAATTTAAGGAAATAGGAAACACATAACAACTGCAAGAATTATACGAAGACCCCTGAGCGTAATCAATAACTTTGAAAAACGAGGCAGTGAATATTCTCCGTGGGATAAAGTAGCGTGTTAATTGTGCTTTTCCAATTCGAACACGGATTATTACTGGGAAGGAGACTTCGGGAGAACCGGCGTGCGAGGCGGTGTGAAGTGCAATGATCAGCGCAACAGAACTGCTGGTCATTGTCAACCTGACAGAACTGTCCCGCCCCGCCATGGAGGCTAAAGACCCAACGTCCGCCCCGTACAGTGGCGACACGGGAGTAGGTGACGGCAGATTCGACGACGGTGGGGGTAGCGCTGGGGCTGTGATCCTGGCAGGGAATAACAACACAACAAGCAACACTCCTCTCATTACATTCTTGTGTAACTCGAGCGGGTCAGAGGTGGCCGAACTGAACTTTTACCTCAACGGCGTAAGCACTGCGGCGGTCATCGGGCTAGGCGTGATCGGGAACGCTATGGCGATGATCGTGCTCACTAGGCGCACAATGCGAACATCTACAAATTGCTTTTTGACAGCTCTAGCCATCTGGGACACCATAGTGCTGTTGCTGTGTCTTTTGCTTCTCAGTCTCGTAGAGTTGTCAATGCTGTTCCGAGAGCAAGTATTTCCCTACGTTGTGGTATACATCTACCCACTTGCGTTGGTCGCACAAACTGCAACTGTTTGGCTCACGGTATCTTTCACTGTGGAGCGTTACATCGCTGTTTGTCACCCCCTGAGAGCTGCCAGCATGTGCACCATTCCCAGGGCGCGTATGGTTGTCCTCGTTATCTCAGTGGTGTCCCTTCTCTACAACGTCCCGCGCTGGTTCGAGTACACGATCATCAAAGCCACGGATATCTACAACCAGACCTGCATATTTCCTGGGAAAACGCCTTTAGCCAACGACTCTATCTACCATAAGATCTACTTCGGTTGGCTGTACTTCCTAGTTATGTGTTTCATCCCCCTGTGCTCACTAGCGGTACTCAACGCATTCCTCATCGTGGCCGTGCGTCGGTCCAAGCAGCAGCGCAAGGACATGAACGTCCGCCAGTCGAGAGAGAACAACGTGACCATCATGCTCGTCTCCGTCGTCATGGTATTCATCATCTGCCAAGTGCCTGCGCTCATCTACAACATGGCTTACGCCATAGACATGCCAAAGGTCATGACCTCTTTAGGCTGGAACGTCATGAGCAACTTCAGAAACTTTCTGGTCACGCTAAATAGCGCGGTGAACTTCATCCTCTACTGCGCGCTCGGCCAGAAATTCCGCCGTACCTTCGTGCGCACCTTCTGCCCGTGCTTGGTGCGCAAGATGCCTGGACGCTTCCAGTCTTTCAGCTGCCACCACAACAACTTGGACAGCGTGCACAACAAAACGGCGCACAACAACGGCAGCGGCATCGGCAACGCTTACAGTAAAGTGGGCTACAAACAGTGTCGCAAAACGGAGGCGGTACAGAGAGAGGAGCCGGACACGGGGCTGGACATGAAAGTGCTCCGGTCTCAGTACTCCCCTCAAGTCTCCGAGGAGTCGAACGGCTCTGCCGAAATGGCCACACTCTTCGATTCGACTTTGTCGCAAAGGAGTCACATCAAGCTGCTGGCGAGTAACAGTACAAGAGCGGGAAAACCCTGCTGAAATATAAAAGCATATGAACGCAAGCGCACATGCGCTCAAAGGTGCACGCGCGCGCGCACACACACACACACACACACACACACACACACACACACACACACACACACACACACACACACACACACACACACACAAATACACAAAGCGTGCACACACACATACACACAAACACACACATACACACAACACACATATACACAAAAATAGCCTTGAACATAATAAGAGAGATGCTGAAGAAACGGCCTGACTCTTCAAGATATACCTCTGATATGGGCTTTGTGCATCCGGTGTCACTGGAGCATTGTTGTGGATATTTGACTGCCATTTAGGAAATTTGTGTGTACAAGTCTTCACTGGGCCAGACCTGGTAAGAGGAAGCTGGCCAGGATCTTCTACGACCACATGACCAACAGCTTACATCATCCCTCGCCTAATCACACTCCACCCATCCCCCCAAATCGATTGTCTCCCATCTTGTTCCCCCTCCTGCCCACCCCTTCCCCCATCTTTATCACCGCTCCGCTCACAAAATCGCTCACTGTTGTTTTTTCAGTCAGTTACACTGCTCAGAACCTTGATGTTGTCATTGTTCATGATGATAATGACGATGACGATGACGATGACGATGACGATGACGATGATGATGATGATGATGATGATGATGATGATGATGATGATCATGATGATGATGATGATGATGATAATGAATTAACAATGACAGAAATTACTGTAAATTTGTTACGAGTGAGGATAAAAAGTAATGGAAGTTGTTATCTAACGGCTAAGATACTGACACCAGTGACGATAGCAACGCACATGGCTACTCTATAAAATGTCTCGAACCAAACGTTGAAGCTTAAAGTGACGTCACTTTTGTTTACTTCGTGACGTTACAACGGATTGTTTGCATTCTGGAGGAAGCAAGATGGAACTCAGACAGGAAAACACCCATTTCTAATTCTTTATACGCTATAAACTTGGCAAATTTCCAAAACCGAATCAGGAAATTTTGCAGAAATAGCGTAGAGAACCTACTTGTTTGTTGCTGGGTTTGTGAATTTAGTGAAGGCAGAGACACTCTATTTGAAGACGCAAATTCTGGCCACTCAAATTCTTTTGTGGACGAGGAAAACCTTCGATGATATCTGGCATCATAATGAGCAGGATCCCTGTACCTCTATACGAAAACTTGATGACATGCGTGGACTTTTGTCAGTGTCGGTGCCTAGTATTGTTCGTGATAAACACTATATATGAAAAGTACGTGCCCGTTGGATACCCCTTGTATTTATTGATTGAGGAACAAAAAAGGGAGAAGATGAGACCATTCGACGAACTGCTCAACAAGTCTGAACCCCATGGGGCCCTCGCAACTTGCACTAACTTATGGACATTAAATTGCAAGGGAGACGAAATATAGATATATCCTTCTATAGAACCCCATCACAGTGGCTGAATCGCAATTGAATAGACATGAAAGGAGACGAGCGGGTCGTTTTGGGTCTGGGATTTGAAAGCAGAAAGAGGTTTTCTAGGGGATTTTTTCTTCAATTACAACGGTCCCCTTGAAATGGATATCATGCCGCATTACGCACTGAGATGACTGCTTCTTACAATGTTGAAAAGGTATATGTCCCGGTTGAAAAATGCCGTTTTATGACCACAGACTAAAGATCATAACTTCTCACACAATGCTCTCCCACCCACGACAATGCTGCTCCCAACAAAGCAAAGGGCCACAACTTATTGACGATACAAGAGCGAGGGATCCAAATTTTGCCCCATCCAGCCTACTGTCCAGTCCTGATTTGGCTGCCTGTAACGTCTGGTTATTTCCTATTCCGAATTGTTTAAGTTGATGGGCAAAAGTTTGAACACGTTAAGGACCAAGCAAGATCTACCAATTCAGAGCTGCAAAGCATACCAGAAGCTGTTCCTTCTAGAAATAACTGTAGAGGGTAGCAACCTACATACAAAGTCGAAGAGATTATTTCGAGGGACAGTGAAATCTCCAGGTTCGAAGCATTAGATTATTTAAAGATGTTTCACAACTTTCTTTACTTTTTTTCATCCTCGTATGACACTAAACACGACTAGGACGGTGATGTCTGTTTACATTAAGTTACATTTATTTGTTGATGTATTGTTTATTTTTTGCTTGTCAGCAGCTTCGATTTAAGGGGCGGGAGGAGGGGGGAGGTTGTCCAAAACATTCGTTTTCATGCTCTATAATAATCATTTTGTTGAAGTTTCATAATCATCGGCCAGCTCTTCAAATGCACCCAGTCCTTTGTTTTTGTTTCTTTTTTCAGATCTTAAATTTGTCCAAAGTCAAATTCTAAATTTTGAAAGAAAGCAAAAGTACACACTCACAAGTACGACTGTTAGAAGAATGAGGCTGGGTTTTTCTTTCTCTCTCTCCTGAAAAATGTTGCTTTCTGGACTTGGTACATTTGAACAGCTTGCCAACGTAGTGTTATTTACAATTGGCCTGAGAGAGCAATGCCATTGCAGTCGTTCCTCGGTGTCCATTAGAATACTAATTGTTTTATAAGTCTTACGTCATATGTTACTTCATGTAAGAACAAAACTCAATTAGGAACACAATATAGAATTCATTGACTTCATCTTTTGTTATCAATCAGATCACAGGCACTGTGCATATTACATATTACCTGTTTCGTCATCCATCATGTTAATTATTCGGTGAAAGATCAAATATTATACGTTCGCTCCAAAATCGAGTTTCACTTTATTTATTTCTGTAATTTATGCCATAATGAAACCTTGACAAAGTACACAGTGCTGAAGATTGACTACACCGGAGAGAGATATCTTAAAGAAAACTCGACAATACAAATGTGAAGCGTGCTGACAAAATGAGTTACTTCTCGGCTTCAAGCCTGATGGAAATAGGTACATCACACTTATAGGTGAAGTTTTTACAATTTGTAAGAATGAAATATAAAAAAAGGAATGTTATAGTTTTAAAAAATGGTATCAATAGAAAGGCCCTAATGTCGATTTTTGCCCAATTTATCGATTTATGGACTGCGAGAAATAACTCATTTTGTCACCACGCCCCACAAATAGTCGGAAAAATTGTCTGCAAATTTGGTTACCCAAGGATGGGGTGAGCTTAAAGTTTGAGTTTGAGTTTGAGTAATGAGAGGCATATCGGCATAATAATAGCCATAAAATGCTGAGAAAAAGCAAGTCGACAGAAGAATGCAGTAAAGAAGTAGGGCCTGCCAGTTTGAGTAAAGAGAAGCACACCGATACAATAATTGTCAATAAGTGCTGGGACTAAGAGGCAGAAACAACAGAGAGAAGGGAAGTAAAGAAGGAGAACCTACCAGGAACACCCACCAATGACCTGCTGTGACAACATTCGGCGCAAGTCAGGGAGAATATGTGTCACAACGTGGTGGTAACACGCGCTCGGCAATTTTTAGGCACATGAGGTTATTGGATAATCTTTACGCTTGTTAATTTGCCCTGCTTTTGGAGGAAAAAGTATCCAGCTATCTTTGACAGTAGTCGAGATATTTGCGATTGAAGGAGGTGGCGGTCGTCTGGTGTCAGGGATAAAATTAGCGAGAAAATGTCCGTCAAAGTTTGACGACTTCCAAATTTGCAGTGTCCTTGAAAACTAAGAATTTACTTTTTTTTTGTCCCTTGATCACCGTTTTTCAATAAAAATCAAAACTTTAAAAACATTTTTGAATTGACATAAAAGGAGTCGAACCCAAAACAAAACAAAAATCGATAAAAGTTGCGGCATCCATTTCTTTGCTTTCATTATTTTGACGAGCGCCTAATTTCACCACAATGCCTCACAAATTATATGATAAGAGTGAAAAGAAGAGGAGGAAACAGAATGAGGGAAGGAGAGAGAGAGAGAGAAAGAGAGAGAGAGGGAGAGGGACAGAGAGGGAGAGGGAGAGAGGGACAGAGAGACAGAGAGACAGAGAGACAGAGAGACAGAGACAGAGACAGAGACAGGGAGAGACAGAGAGTGAGAGAGAGGGGGGTTGGGGTTGAAAGAAGGCGAAAAAAGAGTAACAGAGAGAAAGAGACAGATTGAGGTTTCGGGTAAAGTAATGGTTGACTAACGTTCTCCTAGTCAGCGAGAGAAAAACTTACACACCTTCTGTATGACGTGCTTGGGTCGAAAATGTCGAACGGGCTGACAGTGTGAGTTCTTTTTCCGAAGTTCACAGACAAAAGAGTGTAACTCATCTCCGCTCACTCATTTACTGTGTACACAATCCTCACTAATCTGCCAAAGGTCAGTTGAGCTGTTTGTCCATTTGGATGCCCATTCTACATACGAATGGACAACTTAAAATAGCAGTAATTTGCAAACCTCTGAAATCTCATAAAATGACCACGTCACAAATTATGCAGTGCGCAGTACAGTGAGCCACTATTTAGTCTTGCTGTCTTGACCTACTGTGAAGCGAAGAAAACTGAACCGCTATGGCTACGTAACAAGATCGTGTGGCCTATCGGAGACCATTCTTCGGTGAACTGTGCTGTGCAGGGGAGAAGGAGAGGGAGGCAAAGGAAAAGGTGGACCGACAACATTGCGGAGTGGACAGGGAAATCCTTCGCCCAAACGTGAGCCCTCGCAAAAAAAACGTGAAAAGTGGAGGCACCTGACGAGGCTCTCTGTCAGGCACCACCCCTGTGATCCTCGTGGAATAGGCTATGGGATCAGTCAACAGTAAACAGTAAGCAGCTGTGTGCAAAAACAAAATAGTAAACACGAGTCGTGGGTCCCCCCCTCCCCTAAAATAAATAGCCACCAAAAGGAAACCTCAGTAAATCAGTAAATGCACATCTACGGATTTACTGATCCTACCTACCTTAACACTATCCCCACCTTGAGCTAAATTAGTTTTGTTTTGGGGGGGGGGGTTGTAGTTGTTGTTTTTTTAGTTTTATTATTTTATGTTTGTTGTTGTTGTTGTTGTTGTTGTTGTTGTTGTTGTTGTTGTTGTTGTTTGTTTTGGGTTTTTTTGTGTTTTTTTGGTGGGGGGGGGGTTTACGGCGCTCGAAACTGCATAAGGTCATGATATGAGCGCGCGGGACACACAAAACATTT